GAGCATAAGCAACATTTCAACATATTTGGAACAAGTATATTATGATTTGAAAATGTCAGTGATTTCTATTAGTGACAAAGTCACAACTTTTGCAACTATTCTGACGGTTTATTGCCTACATTAATAATTGAAGAAAATAGTAAATTTAAATTAATGGTTAGTGAAAAGAAAGACACACTTTTGGCCAAGCATTGTGGCTCACACCTGTAATCCCAACACTTTGGGAGGCCAAGGTGGGAGGATCGCTTGAGGCCAAGAGTTCAAGATCAGCCCAGGCAACATAGCAAGACCCTATCTCTATTTTGGAACATAAAATAAAATTAAATTAAATGTTAAAAAGGCCAGCGCAGTGGCTCATGCCTGTAATCCCAGCACTTTGGGAGGCCGAGGCAGGCAGATCACGAGGTCGGGAGATCAAGACCATCCTAGCTAACACAGTGAAACCCCGTCTCTACTAAAAGAATACAAAAAATCAGCCGGGCGTGGTGGTAGACACCTGTAGTCCCAGCTACTCGGGAGGCTGAGGCAGGAGAATGGCGTGAACGTGGGAGGCAGAGCTTGCAGTGAGCTGAGATTGCGCCACTGCACTCCAGCCTGGGTGACAGAGCAAGACTTCATCTCAAAAAAGAAAAGAAAAAAGAAAGTATTTTTTTCCCATTCCAGCTCAAGACCTCCCTGAATTCTGGCAATACAGAGTCAATAGACCCAGGTTAAAAACTCCTGATACAGGTCATCCATCCAATACTCTGACCTCTTGTTCCTTTATATCTTTAACTTCAGTCATTTTTTCCTCCCTTCCATCCTGATTACCACTCACATAGTAATGACCTGGAACTTGTCCTTCCCTAATACTTCATCACCTCCAAAATCTGTTTCATAGACGCACTCTCTAACCTTTTTCCTTCCAGTTCATTTACTGTGCAGACATTTTTGCCATAACACCACATAGGAATTCCTGAAAAACCTCCTGTTCTGTAAAATTACCCACTAAAGTAATGGAGCTTATGGAGAAAATTCTGGAAGCACACTCAAAATCTATGCCAGCTTGTAACCAGAACACTACCAAAAGCACAAGGAAACTTGTACCGCCCAGGCAAATAGCACAGAACAGCTATAAGATATTTAAAAATGGGCCAGGCACAGTGGCTTATGCCTACAATCCCAGCACTTAGGGAGGCCAAAGTGGGTGGATCACAAGATCAGGAGTTCAAGACCAGCCTGGCCAAGATGGTGAAACCCTGTCTTTACTAAAAATACAACAAATTAGCCGGGCGTGGTGGCAGGGACCTATACCCTTAGCTATTCAGGAGGCTGAGGTAAGAGAATCGCTTGAACCCAAGAGGCAGTGAGAGGTTGCAGTGAGTCAAGATCACACGACTGCACTCCAGCCTGGGCAACAGAGCAGGACTCCATCTCAAAAAAAAAAAAAAAGAAAAAAATTAAAAATGCGTACACACACACACACACACATCCCAAAAAAGGAGTTAAAGAGCTGGCTTGCCATTCTGAAATAGTGTTGGTGGAAGTAGAGCTCTCAGTCAGTGAAGCTGGTTCCCTGTCCTGCATCATAGGCACTAATTTTTTAATTTTATTAAAATATGGAACAGAAAGGGCTCCAGCTGTAGCCCCAACCTAAGATTTTTTTCTTGCTTGCTGAAGAAAAGGATTCCTTTCTTATTTAGGAAAAATTACATATGAACCAACACACTGTTCACATTACTGTAACATTATTCCATTTACCAATTGAATATGATGAAACAGTGCTACTGAATCATGTGTTGTACCAGAACAGAGTATAGAACTCCAACTCCAGCTATTCCAGCCATGTGGAGACCTTCATGCCTTCGACCCTACTTTTCTTTTATTATTCAACAACCCCACCACCACCATCTCTTAATTTTCTTCCTTCCTTAAATTAGATTCACTGCCTCAACATCATATAAGCTTACAAACTCTCTGAACTTCAAATTTCCTTGGCAAAATCTTGGCCATTTTTTACTCCATGATTACCCCTGAACAGCTTAACATTGCTGAAGATCACAAAGCCATACTAATAGAACTCATTTCACGTAATGGGCAGAAACTTCAAGTTAGCCCTTAACACTGCCAAAAAAGTTCCCACTATGTTTTCCAAGTAACTTCACTTTCTCACTCTCAGAGACAATTTCACACCTTCTCTGTCCAAATTTCCAGTATCTCCTCACTTCAACTCTCAGCTAATGATCTCACTTCAAACTTCATAGAGACAATAGATGCAGTTAGAGAAGAAATACCTCATTTCCTACCTCCATTTCTATGAACCTGCGTATACCTATGTCCACATGCCCTGCCTTTTGTCTTGCTATAAAGGGGAAAGAATGCTCCTTTCATGGGCCAGCCTTTCTACTTGCACCCTGGATCCTGTTTCCTCTTGCCTTCTCAAAAACTTACCTCCTGCAATATTTCCCCTTTCCTGCATCATCAGTTTCTCCCTCTCTGAAGTATCTCTATCTATATTTCTCTTGACATGCAGCTATGCTTTTCTCTCACACTTGCTCCCTACTAGCTACCACATCATCTCCTGGTTCCTCTGCACAGCAGAGTTGCCTCAAAAAGTTGTCGTTACTCATTGTTTCCATATCCTCACCTCCCATTCACACTTCAGCATTCTCCAGTTAGGTATTTATCTCCACGATGGCACCAAATGAGCTCTCAACAAGACTGTCAATAATCTACTTCTTGCCAAGGCTCACAGTCAATTCTTTGTTCTTATTTTACTTAACATCTTAGCAGCATTTGACATAAGTGGCCACCCCCTTTTTATTAAAATACATTTTTCGACCAGGCACGGTGGCTCATTCCTGTAATCCCAGCGCTTTGGGAGGCTGAGTCAGGTGGATCGCTTGAGCCCAGGAGTTTGAGACGAGCCTAAGCAACATGGTGAAGTCCTGTCTCTACAAAAAAATAAAATAACTATCCAGCTGTGGTGGCACGTGCCTGTAGTCCCAGCTACTCGGGAGGCTGAGGCAGGGGGATCACTTGAGCCCGGGAGATGGAGGCTGCAACGCACTGTGATTGTGTGCCACTTCACTCCAGCCTGGGTGACAGAGCAAGACCCTGTCTGAAAAAAAAGAAAAAGAAATGTGTTTTTCTCTAGGCTTTTAAAGCCCCATACTCACCTGGTTTTCTTCTTCGCTCACTGACATTTTCTTCTCAGTTTTCTTTTTGACTGTTCCTCCCCTCTTGCAAGATTGCAAGATCTCTAAATAATGAAGTTACCCAGGGTTAGACCCTTGGCTGTCTTTTTATCTACACTCTCCTCTTAGGAGATTGCATTCAGTCTCATTGGGTCAGATACCTTCTCTAAGCTGGTAGAGTAAATTTATATCTCTAGCTCAATTTCTCTAAGTCAGCAATAGCGTATTGAATGAGTTATTTGATATCTCCACTTGGATTTCTAAAAGTCATCACCAATTTAATGGAATTATTGGTTAATTCTCCTAAAATTTCTTAAGTCCTCCCCAACTCAGTAAAGGCATCCCATCCACCCTGTTGATTGGGGAAGGTAGACTAGGTTTCATCTTTGATTTCTCCTTCCTTCATATCCCACATTTAAATCTAGGTTCATCAACACCTGTGAAAAGAAGGGAAAACAAAATTTTGAAAAAGAAACTAGGTTAAAATGAAAAATACGTCCTGAATCCATCACTTGTCACCATCTCCACTACTGCAACCACAGCCCAAGCCACTGTCATCTCTTTACTGGGCCACTGAAACAGGCTCCTGTCTGGTCTCCATTCCTCCAGTTTCCTTATCCTATCCACACCAGCCAGAGTGATCTTTTGAAAGCTGAAATCAGGTCAAGTTACTCCAGTTTTCCGAGGCCTCCAATGACATTCCATTGCAACCAAAGTAAAATCCAGATTTTATCATCATGCACTACAAGGCCCTGCATGGTTTGGCCCCTGTCACACTGACCTTCTGTCTCTTGATCATGGCAAATTCATTCCCACCTTAGGACTATTGCACACACTGCTCTTCTACTCGGAATGCTCTTCCCTCAATTCTTCACGTTTCTCATCATTCAGGCTTCAACCCAAATAGACCCTCCTCTGAGAGGCCTTCCCTGACCTCCCTGTCTAAATCAATTCCATCCTCTATAACTCCTTATTATGTTGCCCTATTTTATTTTTGATAGCATCTTAACAGTACATCAAATTATCCTTTTTGTTTATATGTTTATTATCTGTCTCTCTCACTACATTGTACACTCCTTAAGACCCAGAACTCTGTCACCTTGCCTACTTTTGTATCCCCAAAGCCTATTCAAGTGCCTGGCACCTAGAAGTTGATACATAAATAGCTGTTGATTAATTGACTGAATAAAAGTACATAGGGTCAGAGTTGTCTATCCTCTCCCTATGCTTAACTGTAACCAATCACTTCTTAATTTAGACCACTCTGGTGGTCTTTAAAGCAAAGAAAAACCAAAAATTCGATAGATTTGTTACAATTAAAGCTTTCTTTGTTTCTAAGGTAACACTGTTATCTCTGAGAATAAGTCCATAAAATTCTATGGAAAAATTTAAAGATTAGTAAATTCTGGCTGGGCATGGTAGCTCATACCTGTAATCCTAGCACTTTGGGAAGCCAAAGCAGGTGGATCACTTGAGGTCATGAGTTCAAGACCAGCCTGCCATCATGGTGAAACCCCATCTCTACTAAAAATACAAAAAAATTAGTTGGGCATTGTGGCATGCACCTATAATCCCAGCTACTTGGGAGGCTAAGGCAGGAGAATCACTTGAACCCGGGAGGCAGAGATTGCAGTGAGCCAGGATCATACCACTGCACTCTAGCCTAGGCAACAGAGTGAGACTCCACCTCAAAAAAATAAAAAAGAAAAAGGTTACTGAATTGTTTTGATCTTCCTAACTTCAGAACTTCGTACAGCATAAATGTGGAGGGTCTCAGTAACATCAGTTCATCTGACTCTGAGGTATACTTCCCTTGCCTTACAGGTGAGACAGCAGTTGACCTGAATGACTTAATGGATGCTGTCAGTTACATCAAGGGTGAGTTGCAAGCTATAATGGAAAGATGTTATAAGTAACATCTTAATATTTGCAATTAATGTTGGAGAAGAATATTTTCCATTCACACGTGTTCAGATTTTTTCATATAACATATGCTCCATTTTTGTGGATGCTGCTGAAGTTGAGTAAACAATAACTAATCTGTATTTATATATCAGTGCCCATACTAGTCTCCAAAATTTTCCCCAAAAGAGTTCTTCAAAGTAGTAATAGATATCAAGAGCCACAGAACTATTCATACCCTTTTCCCCACTAACCCCACTCTTAGATATTTATCCTTTAGAAATAGTGTCTTATTGCCGGGCACGGTGGCTCAAGCTTGTAATCCCAGCACTTTGGGAGGCCGAGACAGGTGGATCACAAGGTCAGGAGATCGAGACCATCCTGACTAACATGGTGAAACCCCGTCTCTACTAAAAAATACAAAAAACTAGCTGGGCGAGGTGGCAGGCGCCTGTAGTCCCAGCTACTCGGGAGGCTGAGCCAGGAGAATGGTGTGAACCCGGGAGGCAGAGCTTGCAGTGAGCTGAGATCCGGTCACTGCACTGCAGCCTGGGTGACAGAGCGAGACTCCATCTCAAAAAAAAAAAAAAGAAAAGAAATAGTGTTTTGTTGAATAAAATGAAAAAATTTCTGCCTAAGGACTTTCATTCGTATAATATGGAGAAAATTGAAACTGATTAGAAATAACTAACCATATGAGAATTACTACATAAACCATGGTATGTCAGTTTAATGGGATAACATGTTAAAATGCTAACTGTAAAGATTATATGGCAACTTGGAAACATGTTTATGAAGGAGTAATTTTAGGTTGGAAAAGCAAAATATGGAATTGTACATATATTAGATTTCCACATTGTAAAAGTACAGTCTTATTGCCAAGACCAAAATGAAATATCAAAAACTAAAAATGGTTCCTGTGTTAGAGTGATGGAATTCTATCTTTCCCCTGTTACATTAATCTGTAATGTTGTTACATAAAACTAAGTCCCTATATGTATTTTAATTTGTTGTGGATTTTGCAACAACCCACCAGTCAATTCCTAACCCCTGGTTACTTTCTTCTTTGTAGCCACTTTCTGATTCGTTCAATCAGAATTAAAGATTTTTGTTTCTGACTCTTGTATTCTGAATGATAATGTATATAAGCACAGATAGTGTTCTTTGTCCTTTGCAAATAATTCTGTAATATTTCTGCAATTCATTTCTCACCCTTTCTAAGGTGAGGTGATTGATGTCCAGAACTTAGACAACTTTCTAGTAAGCGAAGGGATTGAGCTCACGGAAGAAGAAATGAAGGAGTTGATGCCTCATTTGAAATTTAATGGTGAGGTGTTTGTTTTATAATTACGTTGCCTTTTTAGAAGTGTATTTTTGGGCTGGACATGATGACTCACACCTGTCATCCCAGCACTTTGAGAAGCCGAGGCAGGTGGATCACCTCAGGTCAGGAGTTTGAGACCAGCCTGACCAATACAGTGAAACCTCATCTCTACTAAAAATACAAAAAATTAACTGGGTGTGGTGGCAGGCATCTGTAATCCCAGCTACTCAGGAGGTTGAGGCAAGAGAATTGCTTGAACCCAGGATGGGGAGGTTGCAGTCAGCTGAGATTGTGCCATTGCACTCCAGCCTGAGCAACAAGAGCAAAACTCCATCTCAAAAAAAAAAGAAAAAGAAGTGTATTTTTGTTGTCCTGTACATAACATCCTCAGAAATTATCCTTATCTTTGTAACACCTAGAACATAGCTTCCCAAACTTAAATGTGCATATGAATCACTTGGTCATCTTGTTAAAATGCAGATTTGGGGGCCAGACATGGTGGCTCACACCTATACTTTCAGTGCTTTGGAAGGCTGAGGCAGGAGGATCTCTTGAGGCCAAAAGCTCAATATCAGTCTGGGCAACAGACTGAAACCCTGTTTCTACAAAAAAAAAATTTAAAATTAGCCAGGTGTGATGGCACATGCCTATAGTCCTAGCTAATTGGGAGGCTGAGGCAGAACAATCACTTGAGCCCAGGAGTTCGAGATTGCAATGAGCTATGATTGAATCACTGCATTCCAGCCTGGGCAACAGGGCAAGACCCTGTCTCCTTAAAAAAAGAAAAAAAGAAGAAGAAAAGCAGATTTCCGTTCAAGAATAGGGTAGAGCCTGAGATTCTGCATTTCTAACAAACTCTCAGATGATGCCAACGATGCTGGTGCACAAGCTACCTTTTGCCTATCAAAGACCTATCCTGGACTCAAGTGATCGTCACGCCATGAAGAAAAGACATGATATGTTAAGATTGTGCCTGACTTGCTGGGCGTGGTGGCTTACGCCTGTAATCCCAGCACTTTGGGAGGCTGAGGCGGGTAGATCACCTGAGGTCAGGAGTTCGAGACCAGCCTGACCAACATGGTGAAACCCCGTCTCTACTAAAAATTAAAAAATTAGCCGGGCATGGTGGCACATGCCTGTAATCCCAGCTACTCAGGAGGCTGAGGCAGGAGACTCTCTTGAACCCGGGAGGCGGAGGTTGCAGTGAGCCAAGATCGCACCTGTGCACTCCAGCCTAGTGACAGAGTGAGACTCCGTCTCCAAAAAAAAAAGATTGTGCCTGACTTTCATTTCTTAAATCACAAATACAACCAATATGCTAAGTTGTGCCTGAGGGTATGATTCCATTCTGAAAAATAAGGAAAAATATTACAGCAAGTAAAACTAGAAAACAAAAATGAGTATTAGGAAGAGATACACAGGGGAAGGAAGGGGAATTTGGGGTTGGTTGATTTGTTTATTGAAATTTTATTATTGCTTATTGAGTCTATTCACATGGCTTACTCACTGGCCCTTGCGCTATATAAATACTTTTTTATTTCTACCACTTCTTTTTTGTCCTGATACCCCAAAAAAAGATGTTCTAAGTGCATCAGAGGATAGCATTTCTCACTATAATGCTTCAGTGATGTTGTCAGAGAGTTTCTATTCAGCTCTGGCCTTGAATTTAAAAGAGTATATTGATTTGTTCAACCAGCAAATACTTATTGGTCACTGAATATGTCAGGCCCTATACGAGGTACTAGGAATACAAGGATGAAGAAAGGAGACATACTTCGTTTTCTCTATGAAGCCCATCTGAAAGTAGGAGATGAGACACTGAATCATTAGGTTTCTCAAATCATGGTTTTATAGCAATAAATTTGAACCTATCCATTGCAAACATATCTGCATGTTCTGTTCTCTCTAGGTTTTCATTTCTTCCTTTTCGCCTATGTTTTCTTCCTCTCCTCTCTTCAGTTGAAGAGATTTTGTTTTTTGTTTTTGGGACAGGGTCTGGCTCTATCACCCAGGCTGAAGTGCAGTGGCATGATATCAACTCCTGGGCTCAACCTTGCAACCTCTGTCTCCTGGGTTCAAGCTGTCTTCCTACCTCAGCCTCCCAAGAGGCTGAGACTACAGGCACACAACACCACGCCCAGCTAATTTTTGTATTTTTTGTAGAGACGGGGTACCACCACGTTGCCCAGGCTGGTCTCCAACTCCTGGGCTCAAGTGATACACCTGCCTCAGCCTCCCAAAGTGCTGGAATTACAGACATGAGCTACCGCACCCGGCCAGTTGAAGAGATTCTTTACAACCCTTCTAAATCCACTACTCTTGACCTCATCTAGTCTCTCTTCAAAAATTACTCCTTAAATAATTCCTTGCCGACATATTCAGTTTCATTTATCTCTCTGTATCCTGCCTCTAAAAAGGCAGATTGCCTTCAGATCAATCTTTACATAACAGTGATCAAAAGCCTTCATGACTCCTTGCTATGTTCCCAAAAAAGTCCAACCAAAACCCACTGCAACATAGCCCCCATGTACTTCTCAGCTTTCTCCTCTACTACTTCCAACATGTCATGCTCCAAACCAACTGAACTACCCACAGTTCCCTCAAAATACCTTGTTCCTTCTTACTTTTGTCCCTTTGATTAATACAATTTTCTAAAGCACAGAAAAGATGAACTGCTTTTTAAAAAGTAGAGATAGGGCCAGGCACAGTGGCTCAACTGTATCCCAGAACTTTGGGAGGCTGAAGTGGGTGGATTGCTTGAGACCAGGAGTTTGAGACCAGCCTGGCCAACGTGGCAAAACCCCATCTCACTAAAAATAAAAAAATTAGCTGGGCATGATGGCACATGCCTGTGATCCCAGCTACTTGGGAGTCTGAGGCATGAGAATCACTTTAACCCAGGAGGCAGAGGTTGCACTGAGCCAAGATCGTGCCACTGCACTCCAGCCTGGGTGACAGAGTGAGACCCTGCCTCAAAAAAAAAAAAAAGTAGAAATAGATGTCTCTTTCAAAGACTCATCCTTGCCAGGCACGGTGGCTCACACCTGTTATCCCAACACTTTGGGAGGCCAAGGTGTGACGATCACTTGAGTCCAGGAGTTCAAGACCAGCCTGGGCAACATAGGGAGACCCCCATCTCTACAAAAAAAAAAAAAAAAAAAGGTTTAATGAGCTGGGTGTGGTGGCACACACCTGCAGTCCCAGCTGCTCGGGAGGCTGAGGTGGGAGGATCGCTTGAGCCAGGGAGGTCAAGGTTGCAATGAGCCATAATCACGCCACTGCACTCCAGCCTGAAGGACAGAGCCAGACAGAGCCAAAACATAAGTTCATCTTTTTTTTCCATCATATTCACCTGACAGAAAAATGAATCCAAATTCCAAAGCAAACCAAATGTCTCTAGTTCTTCTAACTCATGGGAGAATTTCAGCCTACTATGTTGTTTTTAATAATTTCACAACTTTTATGAATTTTTATGTGACTGCCTCTGTATCTAAACCAAAATGTTTTACAGGAAATGGAAAGATTAATGTTAAGTCAATAATGGAGGGCCTGAAGAAGTTTAAACGTAAGTGAAAATTTATGATACGATATAAAATTGTAATCTGATGCTATATGTGTATTTTTATCTGTGTTTTCTTGGTTATAAAAGTAATATGTGTTCATTATAGAAAATTTCTATATTTAGCAAACGACAAGATGAAAAAAGGAAATTTTAATAATTCTTAATTCTGTCCTCCAATGATAATCCATACTTTTATCACCACAAATTTTTTCCTTATGCGTACATAATTTCTGTGCATTTTTATCCATGTCCAATATATTTACATTCCATTTTCTTACTCATATTAAAATCTTACTTGTTTATAAATATAGCTAAGCCGGGCACGGTGGCTCATGCTTGTAATCCCAGCACTTTGGGAGGCCAAGGCAGGCAGGTCATCTGAGGTCAGGAGTTCGAGACCAGCCTGACTAACATGGTGAAACTTCATTTCTACTAAAAATACAAAAATTAACCGGGTATCATGTTGTACGCCTGTAGTCCCAACTACTTGGGAGGCTGAGGCAGGAGAATCGCTTGAACCTGGAAGGCGGAGGTTGCAGTGAGCCGAGATTATGCCATTACACTCCAGCCTGGGTGACAGAGAGAGACTCTATCTCAAAAAATAAATAAATAAATATAGCTAATAATCTAAAGTTCCTTTCTGGATGCCTCTGAAATTTAATACATAATCTCAGTACTTTTTGCTTGTAGGCCCCTTATATTAATTATTTCTAAAATAATTTTCTTATTGTGAAAATGTCATGTTCCATGCTTACACAGAAAAGAATGAATGGGAGATTTGAACATTATGCTGTGAAATTGATCGACAGAGGCAAGGTAAAACTTGTCTCTGCCCTCTTCCCACACATGTACAACCTCAATTTTGAATTCATTTTTAAGTAATTTTGGTTTGTTCTCTGCATCTGCATTCCTAACAAGTATGACAAAAAAGAAATTTGCTGTGTCTCTGCAAGCCTGACTGTGTTTCAAAAAAGGAGGATGTTGCAGGGCATGGTGGCTCACTTCTGTAATCCCAGCACTTTGGGAGGCCAAGACAGGCAGATTGCTTGAGGCCAGGAGTTGGAGAGCAGCCTGGACAACGTGGCAAAACCCCATCTCTACACAAAATTACAAAAATTAGCCATGTGTGGTGGCATACACCTGTAGTTCCAGCTACTCGGGAGGGTGACGTGGGAGAAATGCTTGAGCCCAGGAGGTCGAAGCTGCAGTGACCTGTGATTGCCCCACTGCACTCCAGCCTGGATGATAGAGTGAGACCTTGTCTGTAAACAGAAAAAAAAAAGGAGGATGTAAGAATAAGGTATGTTGGCCGGGTGCGGTGGCTCAAGCCTGTAATCCCAGCACTTTGGGAGGCCGAGACGGGCGGATCACGAGGTCAGGAGATCGAGACCATCCTGGCTAACACGGTGAAACCCCGTCTCTACTAAAAAATACAAAAAACTAGCCGGGCGAGGTGGCGGGCGCCTGTAGTCCCAGCTACTCCAGAGGCTGAGGCAGGAGAATGGCGTGAACCCGGGAGGCAGAGCTTGCAGTGAGCCAAGATCCGGCCACTGCACTCCAGCCTGGGCGACAGAGCAAGACTCCGTCTCAAAAAAAAAAAAAAGAATAAGGTATGTTATGCAAGTATCCACAAAATGAATTTTAATAAAAAAATAAATTTAAATTCTAGGTACCCATGCCTAACATTTCCAAATTAGTCCTGTTGTATTTTATTTGTAAAAGAAAAATATATATACCTTTTAATAAGTCCAGTCTATCCCATCTATTGCTGCTTTTGTTGCTAGTACTGGAAAATTTTCAGGAATGTTCATCTGGTAGTTTTTATCCCCAGCATTTAAAATCATGTTACCAGTTGGAGATACTGGAAACCATCTCCCATGGCCATGTATAAGTTCTGTGTTCACCAATAAGTATTTTTTGAGCACCCAGACACTGTTCAAGAAAGTTTAGCAGTGAACAAAAGATAAAGCAAGGTTCCCGCTCTCACAAAAGCTTAGTTTTTGAGTACATAGTATATGCTCAATAAATACTTGTTGGTTACCTGATAGAGGTTCTAGTCTCCCGCTTTCAGATAATTGAAGATGCACTAACCAAAACGGCTGTATCAACGTCATTCTTAAGATAATCCCTCCTATCTGGGCAACTCAGAACAAACAGTTCTGTAAAACTAACAACCCCAGGTAACACAGGTGAGTCACCCATATCAGAATTAGCTGTTAACCATTTATAAAGCCAGAAAGGCACAACACTACAGATCTCTTTGCTTACTTTTCTATCATTCTTCTTTCTCCTCTTCCACTTTTTCTTTTTTTCTCTTTTATTATCTTCTCCATATCTCTAAAAATATATTTTTTTCTTTTGCTCCAGCTTCCCCTTGTTTTTCTAGTGTTATTCTTTCTTTTTCTTCCAGTCTCTTTATCAAACATATACATTTCACATGGCTACTCAGCTCGCCCACATGCTTTCTTGACTTCATAAGCCCCAATCCACTTGCTGCCACTGAAATATATTTTATTCTGTGAAGTCTGCAGTGCCTTAGAGAAAATTTAGATGTTTAAAATATGTTTCATATTTTTAGAAATTTCAAATACTGGTTTCTATTTCAAAGATTCACTCAATAATACTCCATTTTCACTTATAAAGTTTTCTTTGGCTGGGCACGGTGGCTCACGCCTGTAATCTCAGCACTTTGGGAGGCTGAGGCAGGTGGATTACTTGAGGTCAGGGGTTAGAGACCAATCTGGCCAACATAGTGAAACCCTGGATCTACAAAAATACAAAAATTAGCCAGACTTGGTGGCACACTCCCAGCTACTTGGGAGGCTGAGACAGGAGAATCACTTGAACCTGGGAGGCAGAGGCTCCAGTGAGCCAAGATTGCACCACTGCACTCAAGCATGGGTGACAGAGTGAGACTCTGTCTAAAAAAAAAAAAAATTCTTCATATAAGTATTAAGGGACAAATTTTATTTCTTTTTTTTTTTTTTTTTTTGAGACGGAGTCTCGCTCTGTCGCCCAGGCTGGAGTGCAGTGGCTGGATCTCAGCTCACTGCAAGCTCCGCCTCCTGGATTTACGCCATTCTCCTGCCTCAGCCTCCCGAGTAGCTGGGATTACAGGCGCCCGCCACCTCGCCTGGCTAGTTTTTTGTATTTTTTAGTAGAGACGGGGTTTCACCGGGTTAGCCAGGATGGTCTCGATCCCCTGACCTCGTGATCCGCCCGTCTCAGCCTCCCAAAGTGCTGGGATTACAGGCTTGAGCCACCGCGCCCGGCTAAATTTTATTTCTTAATGCCATATTGACACATTTGCCTTCAAATGTACTACTGTGATTTAAGTCTTCACACTCAAATTTCAGATGACAGACATAGGCATAATGGCAATGGCACTTTTCACACTTAAATAACTTTTTCTCCCATTTCCATTTCACCATTTCTACTTTCTAAAGAATAAAGGTGAATTTCAGCTACATAAGCATGATAACATGGAAATAACATTTATATATGAACAACTTCAAGATCTGCTAAAATTTTTATTATTTGGTGGTGAACATTCAGAGCTTCACTCTGGCCTTCAGAGGCACTTGGGTTGTAAGGTTCCACATGAGAATTTCTAAAACTGTACTTACTAGGGACACAGAGAAAGTCTAATATACATTTAGAAAAAAAAGTCGCCATATAAAAATAAAGTCTGCTTCTTGTCATCTTCTAAGTCACATTCTCAACCAGAATATTGCTGCATGCGGTGTCTAAGAATGGCATAGGGTGCCTCTAGCAAACTAATATTTAGAAAGGGCGAAGAGCCAAGCAATAGGGAGAGAGAGAATGACAGATCAGAGGCAGGGAAAGAAAACATGCTTTATAGATGTAGGTTTTTCTGAATTCTACAGATTATGTGTTTTATATTAGAATTAATCCTTTCCCCATATGAAAGATATTTCTTCTTTATATGTATGGCTTTCTGCATTATATATTACCTTATATGGCCTCTATAACCTAAAGGGATCACCAAACATTTTCCATGTTTCCATGTTTTCATCATCTGCCATGGACCTTTTTTGATATTAAAATAATACATTGTTGGTTTATCTGGCCAGGCCAAACCAAACCAAATACAGGAAACTGAGTTATTATAGCCACACTTTTCTCCTGAGTATTAATCTCCTCACACTTAGAGAACAAAACTACCCCACATTTTTAGAGGAAAGAAAAGAAAAAGAGTTAAATCTGTACTATTAAGGTTTTGGTTGGTTGGTTGTTCTGCCCATAGAAAGGGGTGGGGTGAAGGAAGATTTTGCAGTTAGTTAATTATACCCACATATTTCATAGGATAATTCACTAGAAAGAAATATCTATCTCATTAAAAGGTATCTAATTAGTCAATACCTTCCTAAACAAAGCATTCATGAAAATGAAGTGGGTAATAGATCATCATCTTGCTCCTGAATCAACAGATTTTCAAAGTCATTTCACTTCTTTACATCCTAAAAGATGATAAATGAACAGTCTTGATTTCAATGCTGACACTACAGTGCTTTTCAGTTTTTGCTTTCAGAGTACAATACATTAAGGCACCAAAAGAAACAATATGAATGAGGATGGATATCCCATATAACCTTGACATTTTCTTAATTTTTTCACTCATCTGGGGAAAAAAAATAAGATAAATTATGCACTCCTAGTCTACTTTCCATAACTTCAGAAATTTATGTAATTTTGATTCTTAATCTTGTCTTTAAGCAAAAGGAATGGCGACTCTGCATAAGCTGAAAACTGCAAATGATATTAAAGGTGAGTGTGAAAGCTGATGTGAAGCCATTGTAAAGATGGGGCTTAACACTTTGACTTACATTTTTTAATACCATAGTTACTTTCCCTAATTGTCTTGTCAGTTTCTATCCTCCATCTACTTGTCCATAACGTCAATGAACACCATTATCTCTCCAACTGTCTTTCTAAGTTCCTTGTGCCTTTATGGTCCACACCACACTGAATCATATGTGATTATCATGTATTTTATATTATTTTCTAATGCTCCATTTGTGATTTTTTTAATCTCTAAGAACACTGTAGCCTATTTGGTATCGCAGCACAATTTACAAAGCAGGTGTTCCTGACTCTGCCATTAAAGAAATTAATTCAGGCCGGGCGCGGTGGCTCAAGCCTGTAATCCCAGCACTTTGGGAGGCCGAGGCGGGCGGATCAACAAGTCAGGAGACGACCACAGTGAAACCCCGTCTCTACTAAAAATACAAAAAATTAGCCGGGCGCGGTGGCGGGCGCCTGTAGTCCCAGCTACTCAGGAGGCTGAGGCAGGAGAATGGCGGGAACCCGGGAGGCGGAGCTTGCAGTGAGCCGAGATCGCGCCACTGCACTCCAGCCTGGGCAACAGCGTGAGACTCCGTCTCAAAAAAAAAAAAAAAAAGAAATTAATTCAGTTCATTGGGCTTTAGTGTCCTTAGCAGTAAAATAAAATGAGTGAGGACCTGGAGCACTGGATCACACCTGTAATCCTAGAGCCTTGGGAGGCCAAGGCAGGAAGATCACTTGAAGCCAGGAGTATGAGTCCAGCCTGGGCAACTCAGCGAGACCCCTCTCTATAAAAAATTTTAAAATTAATCAGATATGGTGGTACTTGCCTACTGTAGTCCTAGCTACTCAGGAGGCTGAGTGGAAGGATCACTTGAGCCCAAGAATTGGAGGCTGCATTGAGCCATCACTGCACCACCGTACTTCAGCCTCGGCTAACAGAGAAAGAACTTGTCTCTATAAAAGAAAAATGAAGCGGGCATGGACACAGGAAGGGGAACATCACACACCAGGGCCTGTCAGGGGATTGGGGGGCTAGGGGAGAGATAGCATTAGGAAAAATACCTCATGTAGATTATGGGTTGATGGGTACAGCAAACCACGATGGCACGTATATACCTATGTAACAAACCTGCACATTCTGCACATGTATCCCAGAACTTAAAGTATAATTTTTAAAATGTGATGGGTTGGGGCAGAATTAGGTTGATGATCTACTAGTTATCTTTCAGCTTTAAAATTCTAGGACTAATTTCTGTGACTGAAAGGACATTATCAATCAAGTAAAAAGACAACCCACAGAATAGGGAAAAATACTTGTAAATTTTGTAATTGATAAGGATCTAGTCTCCAAAATATATAAAGAATGCCGTAACACAACAATAAAGCTTGGCGTGGTAGCTCACACCTGTAATCCCAGCACTTCGGGAGGCCAAGGAGATCACTGGGGGCCAGGATTTCAAGACCAGCCTGGGCAACATAGTGAAACCCCATTTCTACCAAAAATACAAAAAAATTAGCTGGGCATGGTGACCTGCACCTTGTAGTCCCAGCTACTGGGGAGGCTGAGGTGGAAGACTCACTTGAGCCTGGAAGGTCGAGGTTGCAGTAAACCATGATCCTGCTACTGCACTCAACCCTGGGCAACATAGTGAGACCTCACCAAAAAAACAAAAACAAAAAAAAAAAACAAACATAAAAAATAAGTAATGTTTAATATAGTAAGCTCTTGGTGAATAATTGTTGAATTAATTTATAAATTAAGCCTTCCCTTTCTTTCCTTGTTTGTTCCTGTCCAGAATGGGAGGCAGTGTACCAAGTTTTAAAAGACTAGGTTAAAGTCAAATTATGCTCATAATGAACAAGTTCCCCTAAGCAGGAATAGGAAACCTCTAGAATTGCTGCAAGTGAAATGTGAAGCACTTTTGGGGGCCCAACTACGTAACTAGCTAAGCCTTGGGTGCCAGAGATATCTGTCCTTAGCCATGATAGACTAAAGATACCCCTAACTCTTGCACTAGAGGGTTTACAATGCCATGAGACATGTCAGATCATGAATACCTTGGTTTCTACTTAAAACAATCTTTTCTGTATTTACTCTTTTGAAATCACTTTTCCCAATAATACTAAAGACTATAAGCCTATGAGAGTTTTTTTGCCCCTCTTCCTAGGCTTAAACAATTAATGAAATGTTTCTTAATCACCATTCAGTGAAGGCAGCTGAGTAAAATGTTTTACCTGAACAACTTTCAACTGACTGAAGACTTTTTTTTTTTTTTTTTTTTTTTTTTTTGAGACAAGAGTCTCTCTCTGTCACCCAGGCTAGAGTGCAGGGGCGTGATCTCAGTTCACCACAACCTCTGCCTGCTGAGTTCAAGCGATTCTTCTGCCTCAGCCTCCTGAGTAGCTGGGATTACAGGTGTGTGCCACCACACCCAGCTAATTTTTGTATTTTTAATAGAGATGGGGGTTTCATCATTTGGCCAGGCTGGTTTCGAACTCCTGACCTCAGGTGATCCGCCCTCCTCAGCCCCCCAAAGTGCTGGGATCACAGGCATGAGCCACCAGGCCCAGCCTGATGAAGACATTAACATGAAAATATATTAACATAGAACTTGAAACAAAAATTCTCCCCCTTCCCTGAAATCCCAACAGTGTCAAAATGTTCAGATTTTATAAATCACACCCTCATATACACCAAGGGTGCTGAATGAACCACATTGAAAACACACTTGCTGTAAGGTTGGAAGGAGCTCCTTGGGTCATTCTCTCCCTCAGCTTGAGCCTGAGCAGTGAATGAGGTCACAGTTGTGTGATGGAACAAACCCTTTATTGGATTCCTGATCTGATTGAAGCCCAGAAGTGGTAGGTAGCACAGCTTAAAAGTAGGTAAATATCACAATTTTGTAGGATTCTATGCTAAGTCCTTTTTTAAAAATCTATAATCTATGAGAATTGAAGGTATTTTTTTAAAGTAATGATTATTTTGAGGCATGGGGATGATTTCACAGCACCTTTCAAGTGCCTGAATTGTTGAGCCATTCCGGAGTTCCCAGCTCTGTGGTAGGTTTTCAGATTTTGAGGACTTGTAATTGATTTGTTTAGAAACAACTGCTTTCTGGGCTCTGAGGTGAAGACCTAGGAAAATGGATCAAATTCTAACCAAACATTCAGAGACCTTTTTTCCTCATGGTTGAATAGTATTCAATTATCCATTATTCCTAAGTCAGCAACCTAGTTTTCTTATCAGTGAGCTATCAAATACACTCTACATTTTGAAAAGATAGTTGGAAAGAAAAGAACAACAAAGGGGGAAGTCCTACCAACCCAGCTTCTGGTCCATAAGCCCTGTTTCTCAAACTATGCCAAGTGGAAAGGCGACGGTAATTCACGAGTTCCTTCCGCGGTCTAGGGTAGCAGAACTGCATTGTATTCCACCCCCATTCCTACTGTTAACCAAGACCAGTTGGGTTTTTCCTCCCTGACTCCGCCGAGGTTGCATGCATGGAGGCCTCGCCGCCGCCGCTACCGTAGACGCCGGCCCAGGTGCGCTATGTCGCCTCCCACCTGCTAGCTGCCCTCGGGGGCAACCCCTCCCTCAGCGCCAAAGACATCAAGAGGATCCTGGGCAGCGTAGGCATCGAGGCGGACGACGACCAGCTCAACAAGGTTATCAGTGAGCTGAATGAAAAAAGCATTGAAGACGTCATTGCCCAGGATATTGGCAAGGTTGCCAGTGTACCTGCCGGTGGGGCTGTGGCTGTCTCTGCTGCCCCAGGCACTGCAGCTCCTGCTGCTGGTTCCACCCCCGCTGCAGCAGAGGAGAAGAGGAGGAGGAGGAGGAGGTGTCCAAAGAGTCAGACAATGACATGGGATTTGGTCTCTTTTATTAAATTCCTGCTCCCCTGCAAATAAAGCCTTTTTAAACATCTAAAAACAAAAACAAACCAAAAACAGTTGGTTCCCAAGAAGTGACAGGGCAGGGATGAGTCTCCCAAAAAGACACCCTGGGAAAAACTACTTACTACTAGGCAGGTATCTAAGATGTAAACAAGTAGGCAAATACATTTTATTCTTTGTCAATTATGACTTGAAATGCTCTACTGATTTCATAATTAAATAGCATCTTTAAATAACTTTTTCCAAATATTTCCAGAATGCTCATTATCTGTGTCACATGGCACCATTTGTATTATTTAAAGTGTGCAACTAGATGATTTGGTATATGTATACATTGTTAAATAATCACCACAATCAGTCTAAGTAACATATTCATCACTTCACATAGCTACTATTGTGTGTGTGTGTGTGTGTGTGTGTGTGTGTGTGTGTGTGTGTGTAGTGAGAACACTTAGGATCTAATCTCTTAGCAAGTTTCAGGTATACAGTACGGTATTATTACCTATAGTCACCATGTTGTTCATTAGATCTTCAGAATTTATTCATCTTCAAACTTTGTATCACTGACCGACATCTCCCCATATCTCCTTCCTCAACCACCATTCTACTCTCTGCTTCTATGAGTTTGACTATTTTAGATTGCACATATTAGTTAGATCATATAGCAGTCTTTCTGTATCTGGTTTATTTCACTTGGCATTTATTTTTACATAGGATCAGAATGACACTAATTGAAGGGGGAGCAGCGACAAGCAACTTTGCTTGGAAATCTGGGAACAATGAAGGGGTGTTTCCATATGGCCTTCCAACTTTATGCATACCTCTAACTTGAGTTTGCATCTATTACCATTCCTTGAGGCCCTAGACTTTTCAAACTCTAGGCTTTGAGCAGAAAAAGTTGCAAAAGAGTATCAAGAATTAATCTGTAAACTGATTTCTTAATTGTATATTCTGAATTCCAGACAGAGTCACTGGCCACATGGCAGTTTCAGAAATTAAACCAAAATTTAAGCTGAATCCTCTAACAAAGGTACCCATCTCCCACAGTAAAAGGTAAGTAATGAATGTATTAAGGGTGATAAATGTATTATGATAAAGAATTATTAGTGCTACAGCTCTTTCAGAATTTTGTCTAGCAGGTTTTCCGATCTTTACCAGGAAGCCCCTTTAAAAAAGGAAATTATTAAGATTATTGGCCAGGTGCAGTGGCCCACACCTGTAATCCCAGCACTTTGGGAGGCCGAGGTGGGCGGATCACGAAATCAAGAGATCGAGACCATCCTGGTCAACATGGTGAAACCCTGTCTGTACTAAAAATACAAAAATTAGGTGTGGTGTCATGTGCCTGTGGTCCCAGCTACTCAAGAGGCTGAGGCAGGAGAATTGCTTGAACTTGGGGTACAGAGGTTGCAGTGAGCTGAGATCATGCCACTGCACTCTAGCCTGGTGACAGAGCGAGACTCCATCTCAGAAAAAAAAAATTATTAATATATTAAATACTCATAAAGATTATGATGAAACAATTAAAATACTCTTCAAATATTTATTATATGGTAAGTTTAGTTATAAAACAAAACATTGGAATTGAAGAGAAAGATTTTTTATGAAAAGAAAAAGATATACATCTTTTTTGATAGGAAGAGCAGAATTCTCCCTCCTGTCCTCCCAAAGAAGAAGCTGTTTTTATGTTAGTATACAAAATACTCTAGGGGGATCAAGGAGTTATAAGTTATACCTTGAGATATTTTGAGTGCCAGTTTAAAGAAGAAAAAATTTAGAAGATCATAAAGAAGACTTAAACCCATAACCAAGTCAAAGTGTAGAAAAAGGGTCTATATTTCAAATATAGCTGGTAAACAAAAGCTGGTAAATCAGCCATGGTCTATATTTCAAATATAGCTGGTAAACAAAAGCTGGTAAATCAGCCATGATTGACCCTGGGCTAAAATTGGGAAGGGAGATTTGCCTGTGACATTAACAATAGCTTTTTCTCAGTCACCTAACAATAAATTTAAATAAGCAGCCACTAATGACCAAAACTGAGAGCCTGATCTATATTTTATCAGATCATAAGAAGAATATTTCTTTCCTCTTTCACAATTATCCATTTACTTTCTATTTTGAGTGTATCTTTTCTAGTGTCCTTGACTCTGCAAGCTATCTTTTGAGGTAGTGAGTTCCTTGTCACTGAAAGTAGTTAAGCAAAAACCAGACAACACTACATGTAAAGGGAATTCCTACATTAGATGAGAGGCTGGATTAGGTTCATTCCAAATGTAAGGTTTTTCAGTCATTTGAAACTTTGTAAAATAAAGTCTTTCTCCAATGTTTGATCCAAGGTAAGGTTTGAAATTGTGCCATGAGTGTCTTTTTAAAGACAGGTAATAAGAACTTTACATTGCCTGGCCAGGCATGGTGGCTCACATCTGTAATCCCAGCACTTTGAGAGGCTGAAGTGGGTGGATCACTTGAGCCCAGGAATTTGAGACCAGCCTCTACCAAAAAAAGATACGAAAATTAGCTGGGTGTGGTGGTGCACACCTGTAGTCCCAGCTACTCCAGGGGCTGAGGTGAGAGGATTGCTTGAGCCCAGGAGGCAGAGGATAGGGTGAGCTAAGATTGCACCACTGCATTTCAGCCTGGGCAATAGAGCAAGACCCTGTCTCAAAAGGAAAAAAAAAAAGATCTTTACACTGCCTTGAATTCTGCTTTCCTCCTGCTTCTTGAGAACCTAGTATCTCCCTATCTACTGCATCTTTTACATCATGCAAAAGAAATTTGTTTATATTTAGAAATACAGATGGTTCCCAACTTAACAATGGTTCAACTTACCATTTTTTGACTTTATAGTGGTACAAAAGCAATACTCATCCAGTAGAAACTCAACTTCAAATACTCATACAACCATTCTGTTTTTCACTTTTAGTATAGGAGTCAATAAATTACATGAGGCATTCAACACTTTATTACAAAATAGGCTTTGTGCTGGATGATTTTGCCCACATGTAGGCTAATGTAAGTGTTCTGAGCACATTTAAGGTAGGCTCGGCTAAGCTATGTAGGTTAGGTGAATTAAATGCATTTTCAATTTACAATATTTTCAACTTATGATGGGTTTATAAGGATGTAACCCCATCATGAATCAAGGAACATCAGTAAAATAAATATAAAATAACCTATCTGAGTAAGGACAAACCCGAGCTTCAGAAATTACAGGTTGGGCACAGTGGCACACACTTGCCATCCCAACACTTTGGGAAGTAGACGAGGGAGGAACACTTGAGCCCAGGAGTTCAAGACCAGCCTGAGCAACATAAGGAGATCTCGTCTCTACAAAAAATAAAAAATTAGCTGGGTATGGTGGCATGCACCTATGGTTCCAATTACGCGGGAGGCTGAGGTGGAAGGATTCTTGAGCCTGGGTGGTCAAGGCTGCAGTGAGCCACGATCACACCACTGCACTCCAGCCTGGACCACAGAGGGAGACTCTGTCTTGAAAAAATGAGAGAAAGAGAAGAAATGCAAGTAAGTAATAAAGAGGAAGCACCAGAAGAAGAATTCAATGTTAGTAAAAACTGAGAAAATAAGACAAGTTAGATAAAATTCCACTTTCAAAAGTTAAGAACAGTTCTGAGACTATTACCTCCTTTTCTCCCAGGCCCCTCTTTGAAAATGAGTTGAATCTAATAAATACTTTAGGGGATACTAAATTAATAAACCATAATAATTTTTTGTTTAACTACAATGTTTAGTATTTCTTCTAGTTTTACTTTTTTGAGACAGAGTCTCGCTCTGTCACCCAGGCTGGATTGCAGCGACGTGATCTCCACTCCCAAGTAGCTGGGACTACAGGCGCCCGCCACCATGCCTAGCTAATTTTTTTTTTTTTTTTAATTTTTAGTAGAGACGAGGTTTCACTGTGTTAGCCAGGATGGTCTTGATCTCCTGACCTCGTGATCCACCCGCCTCGGCCTCCCGAAGTGCTGGGATTATAGGCGTGGGCCACTGTGCCCGGCCTAGTTTTACTTTTTAAACTGCTTCTTATAAAGCCACAAAACTATGAGATTTCATATTTTTTAAACTTTTAGTTCTACAAGTATGAAAACTAAAGACACTTTAAATAAATTTATAAAATTGATTATAATTAAATGTTTGAGTTAAGTCACATTTACTTAAATGTAATTAAATTTTACTTATCATATTATAAGCAAACCCAGTTTTATATGATGTATTTTTGTGTTCTTAAACTAATAAATTACTTCAGATCTGTACAAAGTATCTTGAAAGTATTAATATGTTCCTGCCTTTCCCAGATTTTACTTTCCTGAATAAAGGAAAGGTCACCCAGGGTTTCAGATTTTCAGAAGCGTTCTCTATCTTTGTTTCTCTCTCTTACACACACATACATATGCTGTTAAAAATGCAATTTGACAATTGTAAAATAGTTGTAAAAGTTTTTTAAAAAAGAAAGTTGTAAAATAGTCATAGATGCAAAGGTTTCTCTGTAAGGGTATTCACCACAACAATGTTTATACTTTTTTAAAATTTGAAACTCAAGGCTGAGAGTTGGAGCCAGAAAAAAAAGAAAATTGAAACAACTTCTATTTCTAACAACAGGAATAGTGTAAAGCATTATGGCCTTGATTTTTGGAGTCAGACAAATCTAGGTTTGAATCTAAGGTCTTCCGTTTACTATCTGTATAGCCTGAGACAAATAATTTAATTACTCTGAGCTTCTGTTTCCTATTGTATAAAATGGGGGAAATCATAACTGGTTTTTTGATTGTTTGTTTTTGAGATAGGATCTCACTGTCACCCAGGCTGAAGCAAAGTGGTACAATCTTGACTCACTGCTGCCTTGACCTCCCAAGCACAAGCATTCCTCCCACCTCAGCCTCCTGAGTGGCTAAGACTACAGGCCCTTGCCAGCACATCTGGCTAATTTTTTTTGATTTTTGTAGAGACAGGGTGTTGCTATGTTGCCCAAGCTGGTCTTGAGCTCCTGGGCTCAAGCGATTCTCTTGCCTTGACCTCCCAAAGGGCTAGGATTATAGCCACCATGGCGGGCCTGAAATTATAATTTTTTAAGGGAGGGGTGTTGGGCATCCATGGCTGGCCTGAAATTACAATTTTTTAAGGGAGGGGTGATGGGCAAGTTTAGGGCAGAGGTGGATCTCAGTGGCCAACATTTTCTCACTGTTCATCCTATAGCTATTGACTATCCTAAATAGAAGATCCCTTAGGATAGTAGACTGGATACATTGAGATGCTACAGTCATTCCAGTAGCAGAAACTGATGAATAGGACTAATGTCTGCTGGTTTCACATATGTAGTAAATCTGAATATTTTCATATCTTTCCTCAGGGATAGAGACTTACCAGGATCTCTTCAATGCCAATTACAACACAAAGAAAAGAAGCTAAGTGCTTCACAAATGGCAGGTAATGAGAATCATCCTCAAAATTGAAGCATAGATAACAGCTCCTTAATATGTCTGATCCTTTCTTCTCTAAGAAAGATCTGAGATTTCACAGGTTGTCTACACCACCATCATTTGAGAGAAAGGGAAAAAAACTTATATTTTTGTGAGACAGGAGGGAAATTGCTTTTAAATGGACATCTCCCTAGAATTTAGTCAGTGCTGGTCAAATAATTGTATTCAAAGAAGAACTTGTGGGTGTGGAAAAGAACAAATGCAAAAATAACAAAAATAACAAAAGAACAAGTATAAATCAAGTAATAAAGAATACAAACACAGCTACAGTCCTAGGATTTCTCAAAGAAAAAATATAATGATAAAATGAGCTACACTGGTTAAAGTTTATTCATCCAAACAACAAATATTTATTTAATGCCAAAAATGTACTAGGCGTGGGAAACATAACAAAACAAGTTAGACATGGTAGGACCTGATAGGAAGTCTAACAGGGAAGACAGTCTGTTAAACCATGAACTTGCTGGGCACAGTGGCTCACACCTGTAATCCCAGCACTTTGGAAGCCTGAGGCAGGCCAGGCCGATCACCTGAGGTCAGGAGTTCAAGACCAGCTTGGCCAATATGGTGAAACCCTGTCTCTACTAAAAATACAAAACTTAGCTGGGCGTGGTGGTGGACACCTGTAATCCCAGCTATTTGGGAGGCTGAGGCAGGGAGAATTGCTTGAACCTGGGAAGTGGAGGTTTCAGTGAGCAGAGATCACACCACTGCACTCAAGCCTGGCCGACAAAGCGAGACTCCATCTCAGAAAAAAGCCACGAACTTGCTGAATAAATCATTTAAATTACAATATAACAAAAGTTATGATAGGAAAAGTATAGAGTGTTATAGGAGCTTAAAGGAAAGCCTCCTAAATTTAGTCTTGTGAGGGAAGAAGGGGAGTCCCAGAGAAGGCTGAATGGCGACTAGGAGTAAATCAGGCAAATAGTGCTGAGAGGAGTGTTCTAGGCAAAAAGAACAGAATCTACAAAGGCCAGAGAAAAGGGAAAACATCATGCACTAGAAAAATTCAAAGAAGTCAAGTGTGGCTATGTTTGGTTGCGTCTGGTTTCTGGAGAGGCTGATGCTTTACTCCACTAAATTTAGAACCAATTTAGAAATTGACCCAGGAGACAGAAATGAATCAAAGAATCAATCGACTTTGACCAGCCCTGAGAGGGGCAGTCCCTCCAGGGCCAGCAAGGCCCCAGATAACAAAACATCAAATATGGAAAATAGAAAATGTGTTCCTTACAGTGTTTAATCCTCACAGCTTTCCTATGAGAGGTTAATTTGTTCATTCTATAAATATTTATTGAATACTTCAAGATCCCTAGCATCTCCCATCCTCACTGTCAATAGGTCTCCTTTCTTTCATGAAGAAAACTGAAGCAATCAGAGTAGAATGTCCATAGACTCTCACTTCCATGTCTGCCTCCTTACCAGCATCTGTATCCATATACTCTGTCTTCCAACAACTTTTTCTATTTGAGCAATAAAAATTAATAATACAGAATTGATTATAACCCAAAGTATAAAATAAACATCCATGAATCCACACTGATAGAAATAAATGACTAATTTTTTTTTTTTTTTTGAGATGGAGTCTCGCTCTGTCACCCAGACCGGAGTGCAGTGGCGCGATCTTGGCTCACTGCAAGCTCTACCTCCCGGTTCACACCATTCTCCTGCCTCAGCCTCCCGAGTAGCTGGGACTACAGGTGCCCGCCACCACGCCCGGCTAACTTTTCGTATTTTTTAGTAGAGATGGGGTTTCACCGTGATAGCCAGGATGGTCTTGATCTCCTGACCTCGTGATCCGCCCGCCTTGGCCTCCCAAAGTGCTGGGATTACAGGCAGGAGCCACCGCTCCCAGCCATAAATGACTAAATTTTTAATAGGAAGAAGAGACAAATGGCAGAGGTAGCAATAGCTGGAGGGGGAAATGGGGTCACAATGTACTTTTTAAGGGAGAAATAGCAAAAGTTTATACAACAATAGGATTGATATAATAGAAAATGAAAAAATGATATTTCCCTTACCTAAGGGGGGACCCTTTCTTAGGTAAATTCTTTGAATATGAGAGAGGGGATGAGTTCCAATCCACAAGGGAGGGATTGGCTCTGGATAAGAGCATACAGTTTATTTGCAGCGCAGAGAGAAAGGAAGGTCATGCAGGTACAGGTGCTAGTCAGGAAACAGACACAAAGGTGGGAATGTGTAGGAATTCCATTTCTCTTCTTCTTTCTAATCATCCACCCAGAATTACTTTTTCTTTTTTCCATGGTATGTATCACCTTCTAAAATGGCATCTAATTTATCTATTTATTACATTTATATGAAGGCACAGATCTTTGTCTATGTAGTGCGCTAATATATCCTAAGCACTTGGAGCAATGCCTGGTCCATGGAAAGCATGCAATCAATATTTGTTGACTGCTTACTAACATGCAAGAGATAATGGGAAAAACAGAAACAAGTCAGAGATAGTTTGGTTCCAGCCCTAGAGAAGCCTACCTTTTATCAAGGAGAAAGATATTACCTTTTTACATTACACACTTACAGAGCAGGTATCATTATCTCTGTAGGAGATTAATCATTCTTATACATAGAGATGCTGAGACTTGAACATGATATGAAGTAAGTTTTATTTTGGTGTCATTTGGAATATATTTTGTTCCCGGTTTATTTCCTCATTCACTAATTTCAGAAAATACTTATCTAATTTTGGCTCCAGTTAGTGCCTTGACTATTTCTTTGAAAAACTTTGGATCCATATAAAACACACACACATATATATAATTTGGGTCCAATTTGACAAATTAGTTTTCTATTGCTGCTGTAACAAATTGCCACACACATAACAGCTTAAAACAACACAAATTTATTATCTCACAGTTCTATAAGTCAGAAGTGCAGGTGGGCACAGCTGGTTTCTTTTCTCTGTGTCTTATAGGACTGAAATTAAGGTGTTGGCCAGCCTGGCCTCTTATTTAGGGGCTCTGGAGGAGAATCTGCTTCCAGTCTCATTCAGATTTTTGGCAGAATTCTGTTCTTTTCTCTTGTAGGGCTGACATTCCAGTTTCCCTGCTGTTTATCAGCCAGGAGCTTCTCAGCCTCTTTAGCAGGCAGAGAAGTTCCTGGCTGATAAACCAGCAATGGCGGGTGAGGTCTTTCTCATGCTCTAAATCTCTCTGATTTCTGCCACATCTCTCTGGCTTCTAGCTATATAAGGGATCATGTAATTAGATCAAGCCCAGAAGAATCTATCTTAATTATATGTACAAAGTCCCTTTTGCCATGTAAGATAGCATATTCACAGGTTAAGGGATTACAGTGTGGATATCTTTGGAAGGCCATCTTACTTACCAACACTTGGTTTTGCAACAGTTAGTTCATTCCAGTTCAAGTTCCATGGAAGGATACTGTATAAGAAATGTCTATTAAGCACTCATTTTTTTCACAATCCTTTTTTTAGAACATGATCTCCAGTCAACTATATTGTCTGTCCTAGTCCTATTAGTGTATATACTTCTTCTTGAATAACTGTCCTGAATAACTTAATCCTATTTCCCCAGCTTTCCAAGATGCCTACAACTTCTTCAACAAGGACAAAACTGGCTGTATTGATTTCCATGGACTGATGTGCACTGTAGCTAAGCTGGGAATGAATCTAACCAAGCATGATGTCTATAATGAATTGAAATGTGCTGATATTGATCGTGAGTCATTTGGCTTCTCATTGCTTTTCCCATAAAAGATTTTTGTGAATATATAGTTTTCTTTTAATGACTGTATAAACATGAGAAACAAACCTTATTTACTTGCCCCCATATATATATATATATTTGTATATTTGCATATTTGTATATGTTTGTAGACTATATATTTGAATACTATATACAAATATGCATATATGTATATATCCATATATCTATGTATACACACACATATGTATCCTTAAAGAGACACACACATATGTGTGTGTGTCTGTGTGTGTATGGTATATGTCCCTTTAAGGAGATCAGTGAGGTATGTGTACAAGTTGTGAAATCAAATTAATCCTAGAAAATGGACTATTTGAAAAATGCTGTGTAGAAGCCAAGAGTGATTGTCTGATTTCAATATCAAATTCAGGTTACCTGTCCTGATGTACATGGAAGCTGTACATGGAGGGTGCCCTGAAATAACAGATACAAAAGCAGTAACAATGTTAATAATGACTCATTACCAAGAGAATTCAAGCCTTTTGTTTCTGTTTGAATCAAAATAGAACAAATCTTTCTTTTTCCATCAAGTCCTACCTACATTGAATTTTAAATGCCCTAGCACTTTTGTTGGTATTTTTAAAGCATACAGGTAATGTTTTTAGTGAATATACTGACCAGATTATTAGTAGCCCAAACTGATATGCTGTGTGAAAAATATATTCAGCATATTATCTCCTCTCACCTCTCTCCACCCAACTGTCAGTGCCCCATTCAATCAACATCAGTTCCACCTGTCATTCAATGTCACTTAAGGTGTCACTTGCTTCTACTAACAGTGTCAAATTTTTCTATTATTTCATGGAAACACACACATACCCCTCTAATAATATTCATCATCCTTCAGTTTTAGAGGAAATGGAATACAGCTTGGGGATGTTAAAAGTAGGAATAATAGGGGCGGTTATAGCATGGGAAGACAGGGCAGATTCCTTGCAAACATGGCCAGGCTCTGAGAAAAGAGCAGGCGGACAGACTGCAATGGCTGGGTGCTCCTGGTTGGATATTTACAACCACTGTTGCTTCTATGGGCTGTGGAGGACTCATGTAATGGTGCTAAGACCACTTCAAGAAGACCAGGGCTCACCTGAGCATATTTCCAATGCTCTTTCTTTGCTCAATTCAAATGCTCTTTTTTTAATATTAAATCATCCAGAGTGTTTTAATTTTTACATTTAATATATACTCTGATAATTAAAATACATCTTATCATTGTCCTGAGTCTCAGATTTTTGTTGCAGGAGATGGGAAGGTGAACTTCTCAGACTTTATCAAGGTGCTAACAGATAAGAATCTCTTCCTCAAGGCAGTGGGTGAGTAGAGACGTTATGAACAGAAGGCAGTTGGGCAGCTACAACTCACTGCACAGTAAACATCATTCACAGGCTTCCAGTTGGGAGACAGGTCAGGAAGGTGTAGTCTGGGATGTGAGTTACTTTTGAACTGCTTCTCCAGAACAGTATTTGCTAAACAAATTGGTACAGTGTTAACTACATCAGGCAGGCACTTGCACTGTCCAGATGCCTCCTGCAGGAGACGCTGCCCTTTGGTCTCCAGTGAGAACACTGAGTGAGTGACTGGTGTAGAAAAATTTGGCTGCCTTCTACAATGTCTGAATCCTTTTTTTTTTTTTTTTTTTTTTTTGAGACGGAGTCTTGCTCCGTCGTCCAGGCTGGAGTGCAGTGGTGCGATCTCGGTGCACTGCAAGCTCTGCCTCCCGGGTTCATGCCATTCTCCTGCCTCAGCCTCCCAGTAGCTGGCACTACAGGTGCCCGCCACCACACTCGGCTAATTTTTTGTATTTTTAGTAGAGATGGGGTTTCACAGCATTAGCCAGGATGGTCTCGATCTCCTGACCTCGTGATCCACCCACCTCGGCCTCCCAAAGTGCTGGGATTACAGGCGTGAGTCACTGCGCCTGGCCTATAATGTCTGAATTATTTACCAAGTGTATGCACTACTTTGAGAGGCATTGCTTTTATTTTTTAAAAAATTTTTTTTTCATAAAAAGAAAAATGCACTCTCTCATGTAAATCTAGAGTGTCGATAATTTACTGTTCTTGAAAAAATAGCTTCCTCACACTGATGAAGCCTCTACCCTCAGTGCTAGGGCTGGAGAGTCTGCTGCAGGTTAGAAAGCATTAGTTAAGGTGTCACATGCTTCCACTAAGTAATAGAAAATAATTTTTCTGTTATTTCTCCCCCAAGGTTATAAATGATGTGTAGGTGTCGTTGAAATATTGTCATTAATCCCCTCATGGTTTGTTTATAAGTTTAACAGGCTGCCTTGGAAAAGCTAATCATTATTCATGTTTTCTAGGATAAACATTCCAAATTCCAAATACTGTATACAGTTTTGAAAATATATTCATTCATAAGCTATGAACTGTTCTTAAGATAAAGAGAAGTTATTTCTTACAAGTAGTACTATAGTAATGGGAGTTTGCCTAGAACCAGGAAATAATCATTAACACAAAATTCATGTTTGTGTTAAAAATATTACTACATTTGCTTAGACGTTATTGAACTAAAAGTATTTTTTAACATTCCATTTTATTCTGTCTGCTCAGTAACCAAAATGGCCTTTCTACCAAATAGAACAGACTTTTAATGTTTTACTGTACCTCTAGTTCCTGACTTGATATTATTATTATAAATAATCAGTAAAGACGTGGTCGATTTCTAATTTCAGAAGGTATTTAAAAATCTATCTTTTGTTTTCCCTCCATAGTTCCAGAAAAGGAGACCTGTTTAGATTTAGCTGGCAACCCCGGAATCCTATTGTTTGAAATCCTATCAAAGCTTCTAGAGACTTCAGCCCTACCCAAAAAGTCTATACTAGAAATAGTAAGGTAAGTGAGAAGGAAAGGAGCAAAAACAGCCTTCTCAGAAGCATTATGAAGATATTAACATGACAGTCACCTCTCACTAACATCCAACTCCACAGGGTCTGGTCCAAAACTGAGAAGAAGGTATCTGGGCAAATGCCCTTGTGCTACATCGTGAGACCTTATTCCCTCATCTCCACAATCCTGCCCAGTTCTAAAACTGCAAGGCTGACCTCAAACCACCTCAGGGCCCCACTGAGGACCTAAGACAACCAAGAAATTTTAGCCTCCTCTATCTCAGGCCAAAGAATCCCAGCAGAACAAGACTTTTCCAGGAATAATTTTGGGTGGGCTTAGAAATCTAGTTTGGAATATAAGATGCTCTTGTTCATGCTGAAACTACCAGGGGATCTTGAGATGAGGTACAGCAAATTCATACCTCTGAAAGTAGCCTTTGGACTAGAGCAGAGCCAGAATTAGACTTGAGACTAAAGGATGAGGAAACATTCTCATCCTTTAAACCTTTAATTCTTATCCTTTAAATAAATAACACACACCAACTGTGTTATTTATTCCAGCAAGTAGTGCTGAAAGTAAATCACTTCAATCTATTTTTATCATTGTCTTATAGAAATTAAACAAATGTTGCTATTATCAGTCTTTTTCAACTCATACTCCTTCAAAGCATTCCAGTCTCCACCTAGAGAGACTTAAGAGTATAGAATACCACCAACAATGTAAAAATCTCCTTCTGCCCCTCAATAGGTAGTCTCTTTATACTCTCCTATCTCTCTGTCAGATGTAGAATAGAGGATGCACAAAATTCTACTTTTCATTCCAACTCAAAGACACTTAGTAAAGCCTAATGTTAGTACACAAATTCGATACTTGGTTTAACTTCTCGATCTCAGTTTCCTCATCTATAAAAAGGGAATGATAATACCTACCTTATAGGACAATTGTGGGACTGATGTGTGACAATACATGTGAAGTGCTTAGCATATTGTAAGAGCTCAATAAATGTTAGCTATTATTATTGTGTGGAAGTAACTAGACTAAGCACACACATATTATCTTGAAAATTGAAGCTTCAGCTGGGCGGAGACTCACGCCTGTAATCCCAGCACTTTGGGAGGCTGAGGCAGGCGAATCACAAGGTCCGGAGTTTGAGACCAGCCTGGCCAACATGATGAAACCCTGTCTCTACTAAAAATACAAAAATTAGCCGGGCGTAGTGGTGGGCGCCTGTAATCTCAGCTACTCGGGAGGCCAAGGCAGGAAAATAGCTCGAACCTGGGATGCGGAGGTTGCAGTGAGCCGAGATCACTCCACTGCACTCCAGCCTGGGCAACAGAGTGAGACTCTATCTCAAAAAAAAGAAAAAAGAAAAAAAAAGAAAATTGAAGCTTCATTTAAAAAAAATTATAGCCAAGCACCATGGCGCGTACCTGTAATCTCAGCCACTCAGGGGGTGGAGATGGGAGGATGACTTAAGACCAGAAGCTCCATACTAGCCTGGGCAACATAGCAAGACCCCCAACTCTACAAAATTTAAAAAATTAACTAGGCATGGTGGCGAATACCTGTAGTCCAAGCTATTCAAGAAGTTCATTTGAGCCCAGGAATTTGAGGTCACAGTGAGCTATGATTGTGCCACTGCACTCCAACCTGGGCAACAGAGTGAGACCTTCCTCTAAAAAAAAATTTAAAAAAATTTTTTTAAAAAGAATATACATATTATCTAATTTAATCCTCACCTCCCTAATGAGTATATACTATGATCACTCCCACTTTACAGATGAAAAAGCTGCAGCACAGGTCAGTTAAATAACTTGCCCAAGAGGGAGTTGTACCTATATTTTAGCACAGTCTGATTCCAGAACTCATGCTCTTATTTATCTCCCTATACTGCCTCTCACACCCAGTAAGTGCTTAGGAAATGTTAGCTGATGTTGGCGTTTTCACTGTTATTGTGGCGTGGCTATTACTTATCTGGTTATCTTATCTGGTTATTATTTATCTGGTCATCTTGCTATTGCCTGATAATTAAGGAGATTAAAAATGTTTAAGACATAGTATTTAACGTATAAATGGAGACATTTTGAGAGGCTAAGGTGCATGGATCACTTGAGCCCATGAGTTTGAGACCAGCCTGGGCAACCTGGTGAAACCCCGTGTCTACAAAAAGTAGCTCTTTCTTTTTTTTTTTTTTAAATTAGCTCTTTCACTCAGGCCTGTGGTGACAACAGGATGGGCAAGTATCATGGACTTCATGCTGCTAGGAAGCCCTATAGTCACTGACGAGACCAGAAGTGGCATGATAAACAGTACAAGAAAGCCCATTTGGGCACAGCCCTGAAGGCCAGCCCTTTTGAGGGTTGCATGAGAGGTGCTTCTCATGCAAAAGGAATTGTGCTGGAAAAAGTAGAGGTTGAAGCCAAACAGCCAAATTCTGCCATCAGGAAGTGTGCCAGCATCCAGCTGATCAAGAATAGTGAGAAAATCACAGCCTTTGTACCCAATGGTGGTTGCTTGAACTTTATTGAGAAAAACGGTAAAGTTCTTGTTGCTGGATTTGGTTAAAAAGGTCATGCTGGGCTGGGCACAGTGGCTCACGCTTGTAATCCCAGCACTTTGGGAGGCCAAGGCAGGTGGATCATGAGGTCAGGAGTTCAAGACCAGCCTGGCCAACATGGTGAAACCCCATCTCTACTAAAAATTTTTAAAAATTAGCTAGGCATGGTGGCAGGCGCCTGTAATCCCAGCTACTCAGGAGGCTGAGGCAGGAGAATCGCTTGAACCTGGGAGGCTGAGGTTGCGTTGAGCCGAGATCATGCCACTACACTTCAGCCTGGGCAATGAGAGCGAGACTCCATCTCAAAAAAAAAAAAAAAAAAAGGTGATATTCCTGGAGTCTGCTTTAAGGTTGTCAAAGTACCCAATGTCTCTCTTTTGGCCCTATACAGAGGCACAAAGGAAAGACCAAGATCATAAACTTGAATGGTGAAAACACTGTAGTGATGGGCTAGGTGTGGTGGCTCACGTCTGTAATTCCAACACTTTGGGAGGCCAAGACAGGTGGATTGCTTGAGGCCAGGAGTTCAAGACCAGCCTGGGCAACATGGTGAAACCCCGTCTCTACTGAAAATAAAAAAATTTGCTGGGTGTGGTACTGTGCGCTTATAATCCCAGCTACTCAGGAGGCCAAGGCACAAGCATCGCTTGAATCTGGGAGGTAGAGGTTGCAGTGAGTCGAGATCGCACCACTGCACTCCAGCCTGGATGACAGAGTGAGACTTAGTCTCAAAAATAAAGGGAAAAAAACCGTAGCGGTAAATTTTTGTATGCAAAAAACAACAAAAAATTAGCCACCATGGTGGCACACACCTGTTGTCTCAGCTACTTAAAGGGCTAAAGCAGGAGGATTGCTTGAGCCTGGGGGTCAAGGCTACAGTGAGCCATGTTCACCCCACTGCACTCCAGCCTGGGTGACAAAATGAGACCCTGTCTCAAAAGAAAGAAAGAAAGAAAATAATAATTATATGTGTATACACACACACACAGACACACACATATATGGAGAGAAAAGTCAGAAATATGTGGATATTTAAATAAATATACAGAAGTAAATTAATTCAAAATATGTTAAATAAATGTCAAATAACTGGCAAAGATAATTCATTTAATTTCCTGAGAAAGCAAGTCTTGATTTGGTTAATGGTAGAATTTGATAGGTATTCACATAGTTGATACCATTTATTGAACATATATTAAATGCAAAGCTCTGAGCAAGCACTTTACATACATTAATTTTTCCCTGGCTAATAACTGGTCTCCTTGCTTGCACCTTTGACTGCTGCTCCGCTGCTCTGCCTGCTGAACAGCCTACTCACAACACTCCCTGTGCCTAGCTGACTCCTTGACTCCTACAGCACCAAATGAGTCTTCCAAACACTGCAGATCATATCACTCCTCCACTCAAAACCTTCAAAACCCTCCTATTTCCCTCAGAGTAAAAGCCAAAGTCTTTTTTTCTTTTTTTCTTTTTTGAGACAGGGTCTTGCAGTGGCACCATGATGGTTCACTGAAGCCTCAACCTCCCAGGTTTAAGTGATCCTCCCATCTCAGCCTCCCAAATAGCTGGGATTACAGGTGTGCACCATCACACCTGGCTAATTTTTCTATTTTTTGTGGAGATAGGTGTTCACTATGTTGCCCAGGCTGGTCTCAAACTCCTGGGTTCAAGAGATCTGCTCACCTCAGCCTCCCAAAGTGCTAGGATTATAGGAGTGAGTCACCGCCTGGCCCCAAGCCAAAGCCTTTACAATGACATATTGGCCCTCTATGTGCACTGCATACCCCTTTGACCTCTTTGACTTTGTCTCTGTTACTCTGCTCTAGCCATGCTGGCCTCCTTACTCTTCCTCATATACATCAAACACGCTCCCACCTCAAGGCCTTTGTTGCACTTGCTTTTCCCTCTATCTGGATACTTTTCCTCTGGGTAGACCATGACTCACTCAACTCACTCTCACTACCTTTGGGTCTTTGTTCAAATGTCATCTCAGCAAAGCCTTCTCTAACCACCCTGTTTAAAACTGCAACCCTCCTACCACTCCCTGTCCCCACTTCTCTGCTTTATTTTTCTTCATACTATTTATCACCTTTTAATATGCAATACAATTTACTTAATCATTTTATTAACTGTACTCTCATGCTATAATGTAAGTTCCTTGAGAACAGGAATTATTTTTTGTGTATTTTATTCACTGCTATCTTCTCAGTATCTATTATAGGAAAATGCTTGATATACACCAAGAGCTCAGTAATTATTTGCTGAATGACCTCCATTTAATAGCCTAATCAAACCAGTGAGGTAGGTCCTGATACCTCCGTTTGCATACAGGCAAGGAGAAAGAGGCACAGAGAAGATCACACTGGGATCTCCAGCCCAGATCTTCCCTCTAGGGTTTCCATCTGCCTACTGGGCATCTCCATTTGTAAGCCCCACAGCCACTTCAAAC